TTTTTTTTTTTTTTTTTGAGTTGGAGTCTCACTGTCGCCCAGACTGGAGTGCAGTGCCTGCTCCCGGCCACTGCAACCTCAACCTGCTGGGCTCCGGCGATCCCTCTGCCTCAGCCTTCCAAGTCGCTGGAACTACAGGTGCACACTACCACGCCCTGCTAACTTTTTTGATTTATTGTAGAGATGAGGTCCCGCCTGCCCAGGCGAGTCGCGAATCCGCAGGCTCAGGCAATCCACTCACCTCAGCCTCCCGAAGGTGCGGGATTATAGGCTGAGCCACTGAGCCGGCTTTTAATTTTTGATGTATTGTAGAGACGAGGTCTTACCAAGCTGCCTGGGCTGGTTTCGAACCTCTGGGCTCAGGCATTCCACCTACCTCAGCTTCCCAAAGGGCTGCGATTATAAGCTGAGCCACCAAGCCTGGCCATTTTTTTTTCTTTGAGTCAGAATCTCACTCTGTTGCCTAGGCTGGAGTGTAGTGGCATGCTCACGGCCACTGCAACTTCGACCTACTGGGATCAGGTGATCCTTCCGCCTCAGCCTTCCAAGCAACTGGAACTACAGGCGTGCGCCACCATGCCTGGATAATTTTTTTTTTTAATTATTAATTATAGAGATAAGGTCTTACCAAGTTGCCCAGCTGGTCTCGAACACTTGGATTTAGGCAGTCTTTTCACCTCTACCTCCCAAAGTGCTGGGATTACAGGCGTGAACCACTGCACCCAGTGCTAGCATTTTTTTTTTTTGTTTCTTTGTTTGTTTGTTTTGTAGAAAATAATTACACTTGGAAAGTAAAATATCACCACCTTCAAATTTTAAATTAAAAGCAAAAGAATAATTTAAAAATCTCAGGGTAAAATTATATGACTTAACAACTACTACAAAAACAAGAGGACTTAACCTTGTAAGAGCTAGTCCTAGCAAGCATATTCTGTGCTAAAGTGGATGTTCTTACTCAGCTTGATGACAGATGTGAAGCAACGTTTCACTCAAGAGCTTAATATGAAAGTGCTATCTTCAGAATTACTGACAGGAAACAGACTACTTCTACTAGATTCATTCCATAGAGGTTCACACCTGTCCTTTGTCAATACAGAATGTGATGGCATTAAAATCTCCCTACTCTATGTTTAGGTCTTTCAATTAAAGCATAAGTTGGCTGTTTTGCCTAATTGTTTACTAACCAACTACATATAGTATTAAAATATTGGATAGAACACATTTTGTCAAGGATCATAGAGTTGAATATTAATTTGGAATTGTGCTCAAACTCAAGCTTAGAATTGGAGTAGCTGGTGATTCTTCTAGTTGTTGGAAAAGACGTTTGAAACATAACAGTGGTGCTCATCCCACAGTTATTGGATGGGGGGGTCTTGAGCTGCCACCAAAATCTATGTTCCTTTGTCTGTAAAGGAAGTGCTTAGAATACATAATTTCTGCATAGTTACATCTGCTGGTCACTGCAGTCTTCACAAGAACAGGAAAAGTAGTAGAAAAGTGTCTGTGTTGGCAGTTCTTGGGCTTGATGATTTAAAGATTTTTATAACCAGCAGCCATTTGGGGATTGCATTTTTCAAATATTGAATCTATGATTTTAAGTATATCTAGGACATCCAAGCCTTAAAAGCATAGCGTATTACAATTGTTAATTTGGAATTGTAACTTACTGTTGTAAGAATAGCAATTGAAATCATTTCTGTAGAATGAGATGATGACGTTTTAGTTGTCTACTGCTGTCTGAATAAGTGTGTGGCTAACTCAGATTTCTGTTTCTCTCCTTGGTGTAGCCTATCAACCAGCCCAGCAGTATTCCTTCGGAGCAGGGGGGTCAGCCGCGTACCGACCTCAGCAGCCTGTTGCTCCTCCTTCCAGTGCTTACCCTAACAACCCTTACCTCTCTCCTGCTTCTTCCTATCCTGGGCAGTCTCAGCTCTATGCAGCACAGCACCAGGCCTCTCTGCCTGCCCCCAGCCCCACTGCTTCTTTCCCTCCTCCCCCCTCATCTGGAGCATCCTTCCAGCATGGCGGACCAGGAGCTCCACCATCGTCTTCAGCTTACGCACTGCCTCCTGGAACAACAGGTACACTGCCTGCTGGCAGTGAGCTGCCTGCATCCCAGAGAACAGGTCTGCGCTTGAAAGAGATTTGGTTTGGCTCCCTCCTTTATTTTTTTATGAACAGATGGGTGGATAGAGGAGTATTATTTCTAACCGTTTGTAAACTGGGTAATGTGAGTTTTTATGAGGACTTCTAAAACTGTTTTTAAAAGTGTGATTCTCCAGTAATGAACTTTAGTTGCTAAATGAGGAGAACTTTAGAGCTACGAAAGTGTAGGATTGAATTTTTTTTTTTTTGAGTTAGAGTCTCACTGTCACCCAGACTGGAGTGCAGTGGCCGCTCACGGCCACCGCAGCCTTGACCTGCTGGGCTCCAGCGATCCCTCCGCCTCAGCCTTCCAAGTAGCTGGAACTACAGGCGCGCGCTACCATGTCCGGCTGATTTTTGATTTATTGTAGAGATGAGGTCTCGCCTGCCCAGGCGGGTCTCGAACCCATGGGCTCAGGCAATCCACTCACCTCAGCCTCCCAAAAGAATTGAATTTGAAGTCAGTGGTTAGAAGTTATTGGCAAGATAAGTGATAGTTGGAATTGGATTTGGTTAACACTAATTTCTGTACTTGAGCAAAGCTATGCTCTGTGTTCTTATTGAGAAATTACCAATTTTTAAAATTATTTGCAGCTTAAACTGATTCATGAAATTAAACAATATATTTAATGAGGTTGTTCAGATTTTTTTTTTTTTTTGAGTTGGAGTCTCACTCAGTCGCCCAGACTGGAGTGCAGTGGTCGCTCCCGGCCACCGCAGCCTCGACCTGCTGGGCTCCGGCCATCCTTCCGCCTCAGCCTTCCACGTAGCCGGAATTACAGGCATGCGCTACCACGCCCGGCTGATTTTTTTAAATTTATTGTAGAGATGA